AGGCAAATTAGCAGGGATGGTGGCTTGAGCATTTTGGACAGTATCAATTTAGGAAGCCATTATTGAGAGAGATGAATAAGAGAGGATGTGAGAAGACACAGCAAAGAGGCTTAATGGCCAAGGAAGAGTTAGGAGTACGGATTAGCAGGAGGAATGATTGATGTGGATAGGGAGGTTTATAGTCTAGAGAGGCTTCAGGGAACAAAAAATGATTGCCATTTAAACATGCCATGTGGCCCATGACTATCGACCACTTACACACGGGTGGCATTGTTTAGCCTGAAGTTGAAGCACCAACCTAAAAGCAAGAAGGAGAGTTAAGACAAATGACATGACAAGCCCAAGAATTATAGCTTGATTTATTTCTAGGAGAAAGGTGTGCCACACATAAGCTTGGTACATTGCTCAAGACTCAAGATGACTATACTGTTGAATGAATATGGTGTTACGTGCCATAAGTCTCACAAGGCCATGTTAAATGATCCTTGATATTTCATGAACAAGCTCCAGATCTTATGGGAGTAACAGTCTCGATCAAATGCTTAGAAAAGGACTAGAGGATTGTAGATAAAAGGGTCATCATTAGAAATCAACAACACTTTATCATTTTTTAAAACAAAGTCAATTTACTTTCTAGATTTACTTTGTATTTTCAATTAGTCTTAGAATTACTTTCAACTTCATGTTGCAATCAACACAATTGTGTACTTTCATATTTCACCATTAGTTCAAATACCAATTCTATTTTGATCTCTTTGCATCTTCACATCTAGGTAAGCTGTGGTTAAGGAGCTTAAGGACCCTATTGTTATCCCTCAGACTTAATGTTTCTGACATGCTTGCTGATTATTGTTTTCTTAAGAACATCAATATAATAGATAGTCCATATCTAAATAAAAATAATGATTTTAGCCGTTGAGAGAAATTATTTGTTTATATGTTTTTTTGTTACCTACAATTATCCTCTTATTAGAAGCAGTCCTATTTGATGTATTGTTAGGTGCTAAATGTAAGCATTTCTTGTAGTAGGGGTTTAAATATTGATTTGTTATGTTATGAGGGACTAGCATATTTTATTAGATTCAATTTTATATGCTATTTGAAGAGCATCAAGCTTGGGTAATCTTTAATCCCAAAGTTATCAAAAATAGTTATTATCAGTTTGAACCTTAATCCATCTTATCTACACGATGGCCTAAGCCATGTGCCTTTTTAATAAAATGATAACAGACTTTTCCTCCTCATCCTCCAACCACCCAAAAACCTATTTTTTTACTTTTCTTTTCTTTTTAATTTATTTATTTATATACCAAGAAAATAAATGATTTATTATTATCTTAATGGTCTTCTCCTTCCATTTTAGAAGTCCTTCCTCACCTTTAGTGGGTGATCTGAATTTACTCATCCAATGAATATTTTACTTGTAGTTATTAGATTTTGTTCACATTTAAAAGTTATTAAGATATATTTTCTTTTAAAAATTCAAAACAACTTTTATTATCAGAACACTTGTCTCAAATACCATATTACGAATTTAGATTTGATAACTGTAATTAGTACAAGCATTGAGTGTTTATACCATCTGAGTAGTTAAAATCTAAATCAACAGTTCAAATAAACTCATTTATTTATTAATCCCAAGTAGAGTATAAGTTTATAACCATTGATCTGGATTTTAAAGTTTCAGATCGTACAGATACTTGATTCTTATATTAAGTATAGTCATTGAATCCAAATCCAATGATTACCTTTTTTTGGCAATGCTCTTTGAATTAAGATAGAAGAAGATATTTTAAGACACATTATTGTTATATAGAGATAAGGGTGTTTAAATAAAAAAAATAGATGGGGGTGTTTTATTTTGGTTCACTCATATATCTATTTACTGTTATGTAAACTTTGTTGTCAATGTTTTTTTATCATCAACTAGGCTAGCTAAAGCTAGGAGAGAAGAACATCAAGTGTTACTATGTCAGCACTCAATGATACAAACCCCTACTATAGTTAGCCAAAAGTAATGGTTCACAATCATTTGGAATATCCTTAAGAAAAACTAATTCCCTGGAGGAGTTTTGAGCCATTTTAGCCAAATAGTCCGTGCATGACATTTAAATCCTGTGAGTAAATAAAACCTCCTGCACCTCAAGAATGTCCTCAAGGAATGGATGAGCTGTGTTGACTCCTTTGTATATATAGTTAATTGCCTCCATTAAGTTAGAGAATATGTTAATATTTTCCAAGTGTAGCTTCACACAAAGTTGCAAGCCATAGTTAATAGCTTTAATCTTAGCAATTGTGATTAGAAAATTACCTAAGCTATAAGAAAAGCCACCAAGCCACTCACCTCTGTGGCCCTGTTTGGTTCATAGGTCTCAATTTAAAAAGATTGGGATTAGGATTGTGACTGGGATTGGGAGTAGGAATGGAGCTTTAAAATTATGTTTGGTATATTGTAATATTTAGAGAGAATAATTACCTTTATTTTATTTCACAATCAAACATAAATAATGAAAAGACTATAATGCCCTTTAAATAATTAAAAGAAAAATCTGTGACTTATGGCTTATAACACATCCACACGATTGCATCTCCCCAAAGAGCACGGCGGCGGTGCACAAGACCACTATTCTTTTTATTCCTTTTTTGGTTTTTCACCATTAGTTGGTGATGCATGTTGGTCAGATTAGCATAAAGACCTTCCTTTTCTCTCTTTCCCAATCAGCGATGTAGATTGATTAAGTAAGATGTTTCTTTTCTCTTTTTCCAATTGCCAATGATTTATGCTTAAACCCATCATTGTCATCACCTTGTGTCATCATCGTTGTTGTTCTTCTTATTAGTTCAAGCATCGGCATTGTGCCTATGTGTAGCTGCTGTAGCCATCATTGTTGTGACTGTGCGGAAGGGTGGAGACTGGAAGGCAAAGGGAGAGACAAGAGAGAGCAGGTGAAGGGCAGAGGCTTGTGTCATCATTGTTCTTCTTCTTCTTCTAGGTTCAAGCATCGGTATTCTGCCTATCTCACTATCGCCATTGTGAGGAGGGTAGAGGCTAGAGGACGAAGGGAGAGATAAGAGAGAGCAGGTGGAAGGCAGAGGCTTGCGTCATCATCATTCTTCCTAGTTCAAGCATTGACATTGTGCCTGTGTCACCATTGCCATCATGACTATGAGAAGGGGCAAAGGCTAGAGCGTAAAGGGAGAGATGAGAGAGAGTGGGTGGAGTGCAGAGGGAGAGACAAAAGTAGGGAGGGGTGGAGGGCATTTTGGCCACAAAAACAATTAATCTTAAGATTAATTTTTCAGTACCAAGGGGTGGGTGGTATTGAGTAATCCCCTCTTTGTGGGATTGAGATTGGGATTAAATTTTCTAATACCCTATATCAAACATAAAAAAGTAGGATTCCTCAATACTAATCCCATTCCCACCTTATTAGTGCTTTGTACCAAATAAGGCCTATGGTTTCTTGCTAATCCCCACATGCTGCACTGTTGAAGTGAATTCGAGATGCATTCACATTCACTCATGCTGTTCCTCGCACTGGAACAGTCCATTTGTGGTCGAAATTTGTTTCCTTATTGTACTTTAGTGTAAAAAAGCTCAAGTTTCTTTCCGCTACCAGTCTCCTTTTGCACACATTGATATTGTCACTAGGAGCATGGTTAATTCTTTCAAAAATATCTTGGCATCTATGCACCCATAGCAATTGGCATATGCTCCTAAACACCGTGATCCCTTGTAAAATTAACTGTAAAGTCATCCCTGTTTGGCTGTTTCTGTTACAAAAAACAAAATACAAACTCATGATGTTGTGGTGGTGGTGTTATATGTTCTTATTATTCTTATTATTATTTGGATATTATCAATTATGTTCTCATTTTAATCTTCCAATCTACATGTGTATATTTCACTAACCTGCAATGCATTCTATTACTTGTAAAAAAAAAGTGTATGCCGTGTTGATTTCAGCTTATGAAGGTATGCCTTGGGAGCTTCAAGCTTCATCCATGATTTCTAGTTCATCCTTTGCTCATGCTCGAGTTTGGATGAGACTGGGAAATTGTGGGTAACTTTTTTCTTTCACACCCATAAAAAATAGGAAAAATGATAATTAAGGACCTTTTAAGAATATTAATCCCAATTGCGGACCATAAAATTTTGAAATTTCAGTTAAGGACCATGGTCTTTAATTGTGATAAAAAATGTAATTTGTGAAGTGAAATTCACTAACGCTACTTGGGGATTCACTAACCCAACTTGAAAAAATTACTAATATATATTGTGAAAACATGAAACCTTACTTGAGAATTGATTATTTAATAAAAAGCTCCACTTGAAAATTCACTAACCCAACTTGAAAAAATTTCTAACGTATATTGTGAAAATATGAAACTCCACTTAAGAATTGAATGTTTAACAAAAAGTGTCACTTGAGAATTCACTGACTAGACTTGAAAAATTTTTTAATGTATATTGTAAAAAAATAAAACTCTACTTGAGAATCAATTGTTTAATAAAAAGTGACTTGTCCAAATTGATATTTTTTATTATATAATTGATTCTCAAGTGGAGTTTTATATTTTTATAATATACGTTAGAAATTTTTTCAAGTTACATTAGTGAATTCTCAAATGGCGCTTTTTGTTAAATAATTAATTTCTAAGTGGGGTTTTATATTTTCATAATATACGTTAATAATTTTTTCAAGTTAGGTTAGTGAATTCTTAAGTGACAATAGTAAATTCCACCTCACAAACTACATTTTTTTATCACAATTAAGGATCATGGTCTTTAACTGAGATTTTAAAATTTTATAACCTATAATTGGGATTAATATTTTTAGTAGGTCCTTAATTATCATTTTTTTTTAAATAAGTGTGAAAATAAATATCTTTTCCTGTTTGCCGTACGGGGCTCCGAGAATGATCATGATTCACGAGTACTAGAAAGTTACACAAGCGGTTCGTGAGGTGTGTGTTGTGTCTTATTGAAGATATCGATGGCGACACCTAACAAGTTCAAGAAGTTGAAGGCGGGTGACCCCACCCTCACATTTCCTCCAGTCGTTCTGCGCTTAAAGCGATCCGTAGCATTGTTTCTTGGCCTCAGCCTCTCGTTTTCCCTCCGCCTTCATTGTTATCACACCAGGTATGCGATGCCCGTGTTTACGTTGTCTTTTTCTCAGAATCGCAGCCTCTTCTATTTTCTAACTATTGTCATTTACGGAGAAATCAAGATGTAGCAATCTTCTTCTAAAAGACAAAAGGGGAAAAAAAAATCAAAATAGAGTCTGCCGATAACTGTAACTGAACCACTCACCCTGCAGGTAGAAGAAAATTATGGATTTCCGGTCAGCTGTGATTTGACGAGCAGGTAATGATGGCATCTTCTATGCAGATTTTGCTTTCAAAATTGAAACAGAGAGAAATATAACTTGTGAGAATTAGTGTCGTTTTCTCTCGGTCTTGCTCCCTCTGGAACGTTGGCTCTGATTGTACTGAGGGTACTTTGGGCTAACTTTTAGTAGAAATAGGAAAACTGTTTCCTGGTGCGTATTAATATGGCAACAGTCTCTTTGGTTCACGCTTGGTGTGGAAGCTCTTGGAGAATTGGTAATACAAAGAATATCTCGCAAGCTCAAATTGAGGCGTCTTCATCGTCTTTGCTGCGTTGTTCTTCACCATCCACCTCCAGCTCGGGCTTGAGTTTCGCTTTTAGTAATTTCCCCTCCGTTATTTGTCAGTTCTCGAGCTTTACTTACTTCTCAACCGTATTTATTTATTGCGTAGATTGCCCATTTAAATAATCTGGACCCAGCTGATTTTTATCCTTTGGCTCCTTTTTGCCCCCTTTTAGTTTGGATTTTGTAGATTGTTTTAATTTGAAGAGCGTCGCTTTTCCGCTTTTGTGGTTCTTTATGCGCCATTTTTCTGACAGCAGTTCCACGTCGAGACTTGAACTTCAATTGACGCGGTCTTTTCATTTTTGTATATTGGTTGGTTCTGTTATTTGGTTAGCTCACTGCTCATGCGTAGTTTTTGGTTATTACTTTGCCATTATCAGTTGCGGCTTGAGGAAGCTTCTATTGCTTTTTTGAGAATTTATAGTTTAGCTAAAACTAAGACCCTTTCGTGTTATCCAAAATAAATAAGAAAGCCACCCTTTACGTGCCAATGACCTCTCTTTGACACATCTACAGCTCCCCACTTACTGTAAGTATCTGGGATCCACCATGGATATCATAGCGGTTTCATCCGTACTCTTGCTATTTGCTAAGATTTTTCTTGGAGGATCATTACCGAGGACCATGGTTTTATTACATTTACTTTACTGTGAAATCATCAGTTCATGTCAATATTACTTTTTTATTGATCTTACTAAATCACCATCAAGTTATTCGATTGAAGGAGCATGATTGAAAGCAAGAGTATATGGATATGACATTTAAAGAAATGTTGACTGAAATCCTAACTGATTTTTCATTTTGGATGTGACTAATTGAGTTATTTGAATATCTCACAATCATAAATATTAAACCTTGAGTTTTACTATCTCTAGTTCTCAATTTTGGCCTCTTGGGTACATCGACTGCGGCAGAGACTTCAAGATGCAAATTGGATGCTAGTCTTTATTTTCTAATATCGCAGTGACATCTGATGTTCCTGGCAATAAGAAATGTGATTTCCACTATGACATGCATCAAGAAGAATGAGAAAGGAAGTAGTTGATGAGAATTCAAGTGTAGCTCTGGACTTATTGGACAAGAGTTTGCTGATATATCACATGTGATACTGATCTAGAATTTTAAATATGATGCAATAGTGCTACACAATTTTCTTCCTCATCATAATTAATAAAGAGGAGGGTTGTGTTAGACCCTTAATAGCCAATGTAAAACTTTGTTGAATTTGACATGGATATTATAATTAATAAAGAGATGTAATTTTGTCTTCCTAAAAGTGCCAAACTACTTGTATCCCCATAGCATTTATTACCAACTCCATCGTCATGTAGGACAGTGGTTTATGTATTTTTGGTGTGACTTTTTGTGTGTTCATGAATTTCAGATATATCCTCCATGGCTTTCTTCTCCCGACTCTCTCTTCTTAAGTTATTGTTTCCTGTGAAAACTACATATTAATATTTGCTTCAAATATAAATAAAATATTCGTACTTTACAAAATTTCCCAGTTGTTTACATCAAGGCTGGTAGATAAACTTGTGTAGGTGCAAACAGAGGACGGAGATACCAAGGTATTATAGCTAAAGCAATGGATACCACTGATACAAGGGAAGGAAAGTCTATATCTAAAAGTACTGGGAATTTGGATAATGATCCTGATCATCTCCTCATTCTTGTTCACGGTATCATGGCTAGGTACATTTATTATCTTTTTCTTTTTTCTTTTTAAATGCTGCTTGAACAATTATATGTTCAAGTTTGAGTAGAAGTACATTGTAAAGAGCAACTGGTTAATGCTTTTATTTTGAAATGGCATGCCTAGTTATTAAAAAAATGAATTAAGTTTCTCATTTGCGAATAGTGCTGCATTCCCTATCCTGTTATGGCTCTTTGATAGCAAGGCTAGTCCGGATGGGCAGTGATGGATGGGACCTTTGCCCTTATTCGGATTCTAATAGGTTTTGTTTCATAGAAGTTTTGATATCTAATGTAATTCTTCCATCCAAGTGTTCTATTGTAAAGGAGAATTGAGGGTCAGGGAATCTAATATTGACTGTTGAATGCAGCAAAAGAAATCCTGGTTTCAGTTGTCCTGTCAACTGTAAATCTGTTTCACTTCTAATGGGGAATATTTATAATTGGTCCATATTCGTTGGTTAGGACTTAAGGGAATATTGCTGATGAATTTAAAAAATGTTCCACATTCTCATTCAAATTCCTTTCTTTTTTGGTTGTTGCTCTTAAATTTAGTTTGTATGATGACTGATTTCTCAAATAATGCAGCCCAAGTGACTGGACATATGCAGAAGCAGAGCTGAAAAGGCGTCTTGGGAAAAAATTTCTAATATATGGTATCCAGTGTTCATATCTATTTCACTTGTGTTTGACACATTATCGTTGTTTAGATTGATCTGTTACTTTTTAAGAGACACCTAATTGTAGAAAGTCTTCTTACGTTGCAAAATGACTAAAGCTGTCATTTAAAGGTGGTGGAAACTGGAAACTGTGTGTATCCCATGCTCAGATGATCAAACCTAGTATGGAACCACTGAAAAAGTTTGAAGTGGTTTTGTGATTGTTTGGTGCCAACAGAATGAGATATTTATGCCTAGTCAAACTATATCTACTTTTATCTAGCTGAACACTGCCAAGATTGAGTTGTCTAGCAAAACCATATTCTAATTCATTGATCATTTCTCTTTTTATAATGTGCCCGAGTCTTTGTATATCAGTTGAACAGTAGTTTGTCTATTATGGAAGCAGGGATGATGATTGACCTGCAATGTGCGTAAATGATGTTTCTTGAAAAGCAATTGTTGAGTGCTTCAATCAATGGGTCTGAAATAAATGATCAAGTGGAAGTCTTATGCTTATTTGATCTCTGCAGCAAGTTCTTGTAACACTTATTCTAAGACATTAGTTGGGATTGGTGAAGCAGGAAAGCAATTGGCTGATGAAGTGAGTCCTGAAATATATGCAAACTAATAGCTAGATATAGGACCTTTGATTTTGGTTCTGATAGATTGACGTTTGTTTTCACTACTGCATGTGGTATAGTTATTTTATTTTATTTTATTTTTTTATTTCAGGTCATGCAAATTCTTGGCAAGACAAAGAGCTTAAGAAAGATATCCTTCCTAGCCCATTCTCTTGGTGGCCTATTTGCTAGAAGTGCAATTGCTGTTCTCTATTCATCTGATACCTGTAATGCCGACCAACCTAACAAAAACTGCATGGAAGATTCACAAAGAGCAAGCTTTTCAACTGGAGAGATGATTGCTGGATTGGAGCCAATCAATTTTATTACCCTGGCAACTCCCCATCTTGGTGTGAGGGGGAAAAGGCAGGTTTGTTTCTGGACAGTTATATTTATGGTGGTACTTTTGTGAATTGTGAGCATGCGGAAGTGTTCCTTTTGAAACTTGCTGTTGAACTGCAGTTGGTTTGTCTATTGTCATTTGTTTATACTGATCGGTATCTAGCTCTGGTACTTTGGTGCTTTGACCATACACTGCTTTGTACTTCCCAATCCTAATATTCTTAAGAGAAATTAATCGATGCTTACAAATAGTGGGTGGATGGATGGATATGTTTCTCCACTTAGAAGGGTGGGGGTTTGGGGGCCGGGCAGTGGCCTTACGTGTCCATGTTGACTGCTGAATGGGTTACATTTTCACTTACCAGCATTTATTAATTTTTTCTTCCTTAGTTTCTTTTGTTGTTTTATGCAGATTTATTTATGTAGCGTTTTGAATTTCTTTGATTCATCTATAGAAGATCTTTTGAGATTGAAAGAAGGAAGAATGGAAATAATAGAAAATGTACTTTTACAATCTCTGTTCCAGGTCCACCAGCACTAAAAGGAACTTAAAATAATAAATAGCACCTTTCATTGTTTGGTAGTCCCTAAGAAACCCGAAACATAAAACTGTAGGAGGTCATTCTTGCAACTGTGGGAAGACACAGTTAGAAAGCAATAGTTAATGTTCCATGCTCTTAAGCTAGACCGTGAATAAACATGTTGACTATATAGATCATTCTTCCTTCAATGTGTAGATGTTGCATCCTTACCTGCACTTGCTTTTACATGCTATTCATGTTTGTTTTATTATATGGAAAATATGCATGTTACAGGAATTTTAACTGATTGTGTGCATACTTTTTAGCTTCCATTTCTATTTGGCGTTTCGATCCTTGAAAAGCTTGCTCCACCTCTTGCTCCTTTATTGTTTGGACAAACTGGTAGTCAGCTGTTCCTCACTGATGGTAAACCGAACAAACCACCCCTTCTTTTGAGTATGGCTTCTGATTGTGATGATGAAAAGTTCATGTAAGTCAAAAAAAAAAAAAAAAAAAAATCTTTCTGTACTTACCATAGATTCCTAAGTCTCAGACTCTCAATCTCAATCTAGTGCTTATGAGACTTACTGTTTTGTAGATCTGCGCTAGGAGCATTTAGATGTCGTGTGGTTTATGCTAATGTTTCATATGATCGTATCCACTTGAATGTCAATATTGTACATCTTTATTCACCCTCCATTGTGGTAATTTCTTTGACTTAATATAGATATGGTTGGGTGGCGTACTTCCTCAATAAGGAGGGAAACCGAACTTTGTAAGGTGAATACGTCAATTCTTTTTTCGCATTTTTTGCCTCCCCCCTTTTTTTGTTTGTCTCTGATATATGACCTGCACTTTCACATAAACTATTTGTATTAAAAATTAAACATCTGGTAGGATTCTCAGTGTTGTTCTTAATTTCCAATGTTGAAACTAGTCTGTCTAAGCTTTGAATCAGTCTGTAGCTTTTAATCAAGCGTACATTTTAACGAATACGAATGCAGTAGAAAGACTTTCTTTCATGAAAGGGCCCAAAATGGAGCTTCCTTGTGCTGTACTCCATGTAGACTACATATCAAACCTGAGAAACATAATTATGACAAATGAAGTAAAGAACATGACTTTAGAGCGTTCACAACACACTTGAAGTGGGGCATTATTAATACATGTGAATACACCTGACAGAATGAGTGCCCCGCCACACATGACTGTACTGCATTCACTTTCACTTCTGTTGGGGGCCTCTCTTTTTTTTTTCAACACTTCACAACTTTACTGGTCTGACCGTTGACTGGGTTCTTGGCTTTTTAAATTGTCAAAACGCTTTTATAATCTCAAATCTGTTTCAGAGTCCATTGCTAAGCTATCTAATTCGTTGGCCCAAAAAAAAAGCAAAAGCCTATCCTATCCTCTAGCTTCTCCATGGCTTCCGCCACGGAGGCATGGCTTTGTTGACGAAGTTGAAATCCTGGACCAAAAACTGAATGATACAGTAGTTATATTTGCACGAGTAGATCTATCCTTGCGTTGCCGGGTCTTTTGATGCTTATTTTTTTAAAAAAAGAGCTATTATATCTTGGATGGTATTGGTGGTTAATCCTAATTATTTAGAGGGGTTATGTATTTCAAACAAGAAAGAGAAAATATTGGATGAAGTAGGAAAAAGCATATGACTTGAAATTTAAGTATCAAGAATGTATAATCTCGTATGTTTCATTGGCAGCCTCCTAACCAATCAATTGATGGATACGAGCACATTGTAAACGTGGAATATTGCCCCCCAGTTCGTTCAGATGGCCCCGGTTTTTCTACCGAGGCAGCAAAGGCGAAGGAGGCTACGCAAAAGGCACCAAATGCACAGAATGCTATTGAATATTACGAAAAAATGGAAGGTAATTACTATTACCAACAAATAAAAAGTAAAAGTATAAATTAATCCCAAAACTGTAGGTCTAATATCTGGGATTTTAAACTCCTTTTTAATGTAATGTTCTCATTTAACTTTTTAAAATTGTATAATTTGAACTCTACCTATAACAAAAGTTAATTTTGACCATTAAAAAAAAGACTTAAAAAATTTCAAAAAAAGACTATTAAAATTACAGTATAAGACCTGAAAATATAGACAATGACTCAAAATTACAAAACAGGACCAAGAAAATTTTATTAATATTTTTTTTTTGTAATTTTTGAAGTTTTTTATGTCATTTTGGTTCAATTAACGGTCAATGTTAAATTTGATTAATGGTTAGTATTATATTGCATTGTTTTTAAACATTGAGAAATATTACACTGGATGTTAATAAATTTATAGTCTAGGAGTTAATTTACTCTTATATTCTAGAATAAATTACAGACGAGAGAAGTCCCACTGGGTTAACTAATCTCTATACCACTAAAGGCTAAAGCTGACTTTGTGTGTTCTGACAGAGGAGATGATACACGGATTACAGCGGCTGGGATGGAAAAAAGTTGATGTCAACTTTCACTCATCAATCTGGCCTTTCTTTGCTCATTACTACATCCATGTACTGTATCAATAAAAAAAGAGATATATAAGCATCTTGAGTACATTTTCTTTCTAAAGTGTTGGTCTGCTCCTTTACTTTTTTATTGGGATGAAATCTGTGTCAGCTATGACGCAACTACTATTATGGTTCTTAACTTGGATTTTTGCAATAATGATTTCAGGTGAAAGATGAGAGGCTTCACAGTGCTGGTATGGGAGTAATTGCTCATGTTGCTGACAGCATAATGCAGGAAGAAACATCTTATTTAGCTAGGGATGTCAATTTTGGGAACTAGCTTGTAACTGGTGAATGTAAAATTCGCGACAATTGAAATGTGTCTTACTGTACCATAGATTGAAATAATCAATTTTCTGTTTTAACTTTGAGTTTCATCAATATCCTTATAAGCATATTTTATATTAAGTTGGGCTCAGAATAATTGTTGGGGCAAGCTTAGAGTAGTATTTACATGAATGATATTTAAAAAAACAATGCAACTTTAATAGAGAGATGCATTATCATGACCAAAATGAGAACACATTAGGGAGTTTTCAGGCGCAGAAAGGCCTGATGAGGACCAGAAGCATGATTGACATTTAGAGTGATAGAGCAACATAATGTTGGCCAATCGTTAATTTTGGTCATAGTGAATTTAGATATTTTAAAGTTAATCTATTCTACAGCATTCATCTTTAAAAATTTTAAAAATAAAAACTTAAAAAAATATAATTTTGGGTCCCCATACTTTACTATAGGTTATTGCACTTTTTTTTTGGTATTTTAAATTTTTATACTTTTATTTTTTAGTTTTTCAAGTCACTTCAAAATTAATACATTTTACTTATTTAAAGACCTAAAACACTAAAAAATAGAAATATAAAAACATAAAATATTTTAAAAAAATATAAGAACCTGTAATAGAATGCAAATAAAATATAGGGGTTTAAAATTTTGTTTTTCCCGAAAACTTAATAATAAAGAATAAAGAGAAGAGAGGAATGGGTGTGGGCAGAGGCGAGAGAGGAGGGATCAACAAGTCAAAATGACATCATAAAAGTATATATTAATGATTTAAATTTCAACCTTTTCTCCCTCATTTTTTTTTATGGGTTGGTCAAACGTGTTCTATAACGTTGATGGTCAAAATAAATATTTTCAGTCACCATTTTGTACTTTAGTTTATTTTAGGTTAATTAGTCTACCAATATCAACGAAAAATATAATTTTTAATTAATTAATTCCTTTTTTGGACAATATAATTAACTAAAGGAAAAATGATAATAAAATTTTTTTAAATTATATAAATAATGATCTGATATATTAAAATGTCATAATTTCAATAAAATTTCTAAAAACTTCTATGTTAAAGTGATACCATAATTTCAATGAAGTCTATGTTAAAATGAAAAAATCATTTTACCCTTACTGAAAATAATAAGTCCCAATTATAACTATTGTATAATCACAACTTTTATTCTGTAAATCATAAGTATTGAATAAGAAATTATAATTTGTCAATTGTAATTTATATTATTGAAAAAAATGCCCTAATCATAATTTTTGCTTAAAAAATAACAATTTTGTATAAGAAATCACAATTTATCAAGTGTAATTTTTATTATTAAAAAAGGTCTCAAAATAATAAACCCTATTCATAACTTTTATTTAAAAAATTACAATTTTTATTCAAAAAATAATAAAAATTAAACAAAAAATCACAACTGATCAATAACAGAAATTTTTTTAATTTAAAATTTATTAATAAAAAGGTTTTTAGATACTTTAGTGAAATTATAATATTTTAATGATCAAATTTTCATTTAGATAATTAGAAAAAATTTTATTATTATTTTTTTATAATTTAATTAATGTGCTCGAAGTGGTCTAATTATTTCTGCTACTAAATACTAAATTAAAAATTGTTGGTTAGAGCTATGCTTACACATTCCTGTGACCAAAGTCTAAAGTGGAGCCCCAAAAGTCATTCAATGTATGTTTGATTTTTAGTTTATTAAAAATTTATTTGGTGAAAGTTTATTTAATAAAAGTCAGTTATTATAACGAAATTTGTGTTTGAATATTTTTTTAAAAAATTAATTTAAAATACTAAAAGTTATTTGGGTTGTGATAGTGAAATGTTGCTTTTAAATGTATAATTATTAAAAAGAACAATAATTTATAATGATTTATAATTTTTATTATACAAATATAATATAATTAAAATATTTAAAAAATATGATAAATATTTTAAATAACATAAATTTTGAGTTATAATACTAAAAATTTAATCATTAGTTATTTATATTTTTTTAATTTATAATTTTAAAAAATGTAATAAATATTTATAATTTTTATTATACATAAATGCTAAAAATTAACATAATTAATTATTTAATTAATAATGTTAAAAAATAAATATTTAATTATTATTATTGAAATAATAATTATATTTTTAATAAATTAATTATTTTTAAATTAAAAAATGAGAAATTAAATTTAAAATAATATAGTCAAACAATATTATACTTTTTAAATTTATTTTTTAAAAATTTTTAATAATTATGTTTTAAAATTTACTTATAACAACTGTTTGAATATATTTTTTTAAAAAATATTTTATTTAAATAATTTTTAATTTTTTAAAAATAAAATTTAACTTTTAAAATGTGATATGAAAGAAAAAAGACACAAGAAAGAACGCCAGCTCAATCCCAATCATATTTGTCCCTTTAATCTCAATCTCTGGATCAGAACGTGACAAGGACTTTCATAGCTACGATCAGACACGTGGGACTGTATTGGGCGACCTCATGGATCACTCTCGCAACCGCGAGTGGGCATCATCTTCGGCCAGTCTCTGTCCCACGGGCTCCACTATCGCAACCCGTCACTCACCAACCCCGACCGCCTTGAAACTTTTCCATTGCGTCAAATTGCTGTAATCAGAGTGAAGCAGCCACGGCGTCATTTATAGAGGGAGGGAGTTCACACTAGACTACAAGCAAGAGAAAGGTAGGGTAGCAGATCGGCTATGGCGTCGACTAAGGAACATGAAAGCTTTGTCTACGTCGCTAAGCTTGCTGAGCAAGCTGAGCGCTATGAAGGTGTTTTCCTTACTCTATTCTTCTGAGGTTTCTGTTATTCATTTCTTTGGTAATGAGAATCTCTACTATGCGGGAATTAACGATCTTTGCGAAGATTTTTCCTCACCGGGGAGTAACCGCTCGATTTGTTTTTTTTTTCCTGAGTTATTTTTGTCTTTATTTTTGGTGGGATTTGTTTTAGTCTTGCGCAAGTAAAATTGGAGATGAGGTTATAGATCTTTGTTTGAGAATAATGTAAATTTTATTCTCTTTGCAGAAATGGTGGATGCCATGAAAAAGGTTGCTGAGCTCAATGTTGAATTAACGGTTGAAGAGCGAAACCTTCTCTCAGTTGGGTATAAGAATGTAGTGGGTGCAAGGAGAGCTTCTTGGAGGATTCTGTCTTCGATTGAGCAGAAAGAGGAAGCAAAAGGGAACAATCTGAGTGTGCAACGTATAAAGGATTATAGACAAAAGGTGGAGTCGGAGTTGTCAAATATTTGCAGCGATATTATGACTGTTATGGATGAGCATCTTATTCCCTCTTGCTCTGGTGGTGAATCCAGCGTGTTTTTCTACAAAATGTATTTGATTTTGGTTCTAAGTTTTTTTGTTTTCTTCCCTCGAGAATTTAAAATTCTGATTTTTTATTCTGGTTTTTTTCCCTGTAATGTAGGAAAGGTGACTATTATCGGTATCTGGCGGAGTTTAAATCTGGTGATGAGAGAAAAGAAGCAGCTGATCAGTCCATGAAAGCATATCAGGTCTAATCAAATTCATAAATCTTAAAACGTCTCTAAGTCTTTAACTTCCCTTATAAGCACACTCTATATGTTAGTTAATGCAGCATCTCAAACTCTTCTTGTTTCTGTGCTGTTCTTTTCCCTCAATCCTAGTATCCTCGATGAAGCGCTGCCAACTTTATGGGTTATAAATCTGGTTTTGTTATGTGTTTTTTTTTTTTTTCCTTTGTACCATGGTGAGAGATGATTATGGTCTTTGAGAAGTCGATAAGTAGTTGTACTGATCTTAGTGATTTGAATTTTAGCTGAAGATCGAAGACACAGAGAGTTACAGGTTTTCAATTATTGTTCCACCGTTCTCCTTGCTCATGTCTGTGGCTTATCCTTGATACTTTGCATTTGCAGACAGCTTCCTCTACAGCTGAGGCTGAGTTACCTCCCACCCATCCCATCAGGCTGGGTTTGGCTTTGAATTTCTCTGTATTTTATTATGAAATTTTGAACTCCCCTGAAAGGTATGCTAAATGTTAACCTTTTCCTGACAGAATTTAGGGCACCTTTTTCATCTGTGTTCATGTTCTATTGTTTAAAAAACTCATACAACATATTTTTCATTTCAGAGCCTGTCACCTTGCAAAGCAGGCCTTTGACGAAGCAATCGCAGAGTTGGATACTTTGAGTGAGGAGTCTTACAAGGACAGCACATTGATTATGCAACTTCTAAGAGACAATCTCACTTTGTGGACATCCGATATTCCTGAAGATGGAGGTAATCACAAAATGGAAATTAATGTTTGTTATTGGTCATCCACTTTGCCACTCTCATCTGTAATTGAAATATATTCTATGTCTTATTCTAATTTCCAATATATTCTTTTGATTATGGATTATTATATGACATTGCCATGGAGTATAGTTGGTATGGTTGTTTGTGTATTCTAATCCATAATGACTTGTGGAGTGTTGTTGATAATTGGCCATGCCTTGTTTGTGGTTGTGTTCACTTGATAACACTTTAGCTTGGATTGGTCTGTGTGTTATTGGTGACGGTGATTAACCACAAAAAATGAGATCGAGCTTTTACTTCTCTATTACTGGTTAAAAGCATTAAAGCTAATTAAGAACTTTCATCTTATCTATGACCTCTACTAGATCCTCGATTCCCTTGCTTTTTGTAATTTTAGCAATTAACACAAATGCAACTTTTCCAATTTTTTTCCTTTAGCTTCGACTTTTTCTTCCTCCTCTTATTAATTATTTGTGGAAAATTGTAATTCTAGTAGTCTAAGTTAAATTGCTTTATTTTCTAACTGATTATTAGGAGTTGGTAACTTGCGCTTGACTAGAGCACACTGATGTTTTTCATGAACTTTGAGGTGGATTATACTAGTTGTTTTCTTTAGTGCTTCTGTTAAAGTTAGCTGTTCTCTCGTTAGTAGTTTTAGGATCATTCAACTATGCCTATTTTAGGGTTACTATGCTATTTATATGCGTGTCTTGTTGAGTGATATTTTCCACAGTCCTGTCTTTTTATTCTCTCATTTGGCTTAGTTACTCCCTAATTTCTTCCTTTTGTTTCTATTCAATATTATGTTTATATTACATGTTAATACCCATTTAAGTGGTGTTTGAAACCATGTTTATTATGGTACAAGTATCCTTGTTTATCTAACCATAGGGCTTCTTTGGCAGCCTGTCTTGGGAACAGTTTTTTATTCTCTAGACCCAAAAAAAAAAAATCTATTTGGTTACGTGTTTTCAAAAAGTGTTTTGGAAAATAAAAAAAATTAAATATTGTTTTAGAGAATAGAAACACAATAACATCTTTTAGATGTGATGGGATTATTGTTTTGGAATGCAAGGGATAATGTTAAAGACATATTTTTTCATTATTTTTTTTTATTCTCAAAATATGTTCTACAAAACATTTGTTCTCAAAACAATAAAACAAACAGTTTCAAACAAGCCCATAACTTGTTTTCTTTAGCTAGCACGAGGGTGAAGATTCTATGTCGACCTACTTTCTAAGGTCCAACTAATATAAAAAACATAGAACCTAATGTCAATAATATAGAAAAGAAATAATCAAATGATCTGTTTAGTTTCCATACGTATATTCCTGCAACATTTTGCTATTTGCACGTGCCATTTTGTTGTGCTTTTAAATTTATCTCGGGTTTTCCTTTGCATTTACTGCTGTGTCCTACTGAGCCCCTTCTAATATATATAATTTGTCCTGAGTTATTTGTAAATTGAATCAAGTTCTTACGTTCTGTGCAGCTGAAGAACAGAAGGAGTCCAACCGTGCCGTTGGAGGTGAAGATGCTGAGGTAGGTTACAAAACCACATGGTAGATCTTCTTTGGGATAGCTGTTTTAGGGGGGATGATTTTCCTTGGGTTTGTTTTTTTACCTTATCTGAGATATTCATTCATTTATTTACCATTATTTTGCAGTAAAAGTGACGAGGCCATTGGTTAGGGCTTTGTGTTGTCAATACGAGAAGGCTAGTCTCTATTCAACTCTTGGTGGTTTTCTTTCTCTTGGAAGAAAGTTCTTAGTCTACCATTATTGTGACAGAAAATGGAAGTTTTGTGCTAGAAACTTGCAAACTCTAGGGCTTTATTTCCCCAATTGACTAAATGGAAAGCATTTTGAAGATTTGCTGTAGGAATCTCCCATTCTGCACATCTTTCTGAAGCGATAGCGTGTATTTGTGACATATTTGGACGGCTATGAGTTGATGTGTGCGTTTGTCTTTTCTTTAGTCAGTCCAAATGGCCAGTCGTTTTTAGTTGCGGAAAATTCTGGGAAATTTCCTTTGAAATGAGGTTATTTGTAGACCTGTTAATGAGTCAACTCACAGCTCACAGGTTGGCCTGTAGCAAGTTGTGAGTTTGGCAGGGTAAGTTGGCATCGCTTGCTTTTTGCGCGGCTTGAATTTTGCTTGGTAGATTAGCAGGCTAACTCCTAAGTAAAAAAAATATGTTTTATAATTTTTTTAAATTTTAAAAATTATAAATTTATCTCTTTTTATTATTTTTTCCATGGTAAAAGAATTATATATTTTCCCTAAAAATTAATTATTCAAATAATAAAAGTCTTTTTAATTAAAACATGTTTTATGTTATTATTTAAATATAAACTAATTTAATTTTGTAATTTTTTTGTTCTTTAATCTTTTACATGACTGATCAGTATATATATATATATATATATATATATAAATTAATGGAAATACTTTGTCTAACCTCTTTTCATCTTTTAATGTTTTTGTTATAAAATTGATGCCTCAATTTAAAATGTTAATTTTTAAAAGAAAATAGTGATGATTTAAACTTTGATTATTATATTACTACTCATAATACATTCAGTTCATACCATTTAAATGTTTTAATATCTCTGCATATGTTTTATTTCCTTTTATGTTTAAATTAAGATGATAATATAATATATAATTAGTACTTCATAAATGTTTAATTTTTTAAATAAAAAGGGCAATTGAACTTTTTTTATTGTCTTGCTCGGGTAGCATTATTTTGCAAACAAGATAATTTAAATAAGTTATTATATGAATGAAGCAAAGTATAATAAAGTATTTTATTCAATCTTATCTTAATCACATTCAAATTATATTATATCACTATTTAAATATATTAGCACTATGTTTTTATTGTTTTCTATCATAATTTAAACTTGAATTAAATAAATGTAAAAATATCAAGTATTTAGATCACAATTCCATACATCATTGCTTTGGATGTTTTATTTTAAACTCAATCTCATTTATTTATTTTTTTGTTTAATTTTTTTTTAAGTATAAGTGGGCTAACCTGCGAGTTAACCCACTACAAGTTCAAGTTATGCGAGACAAGCCAAAATGCCTTGGATATAATTAAACTCATTTTCTTTAACAATTAAGGGTTGGCGGGTTGAGCGCATGGGCCCAACTTATATTACCGTCTCTAATTATTTGCAAGTTTTGATTAGCTAGCACGTCACTACAATTTTGTTTTTGAAAATGACCTATTTATAACCTTACATGAAATTTGAAAATGCTGTTCAAGATGTTTGAACTTGGTATTCATTATCTTTAGAGAAAATGTAACAATAGGTCCTTGTATAGTTTGATTGCATTTTGATTAATGTATGCATGTTTAACCTTTTGCTCACATGGAAAAATTGTAATTATTGAGTGAATGTGTCAATAGAAAAAGTCTTACATTGCTTACATGAGAAAAGATCCTAGTGTATATATGCTGAGGAATGAAAGTAGGCTAATAAAGGGCTTATAGGAGAAATGAGCTCATGTGCATGAGACAGGTTTACGTAGGGTAATTACAATTGAAAACAGTCAATATGCCTTTCTTGCATGTGAGTTTAAGAGGCATTGGGTCCTTTTTACTAGAATTATTTTGTAAAAATAATTTCTTAATTTATTTTTCTTATATGAAGCTCTTGGTTTCTGACCATTTGAATTTTGAATTTCAAAAGTTTTAGAAACGGTTGTTTTAAATGACATTATTTTCCTTTTAACCTTTAAATGGATTTCTTTAATCCAACATTCAATAACTGAGGCTTTAAATAGATTTTATTAGTCCATCATTTTGTAACTGATGTTTTATGATATTTTATTCTTTGAAATCAATGCGTTAATAAGTGTCCAACATTCATCTGAGCATATGCCTATATATACCAAAGCATCCAATGATCTTAGTGCCTAGCTCTTGAACTTTCAAGCCCCTTCTTCCCTCTTCCTTTATCTGTGCTATTTGGGTATATAATTTTGCTGCTCTCTGTCGTTCTATGCCTTTGTTGCTCTTTGTAGGATGAGTCTATTTAATCATGGAGAGTTGTTGTTTAATCAGTAACGTGTGGCAAAATAGCTCGTAAAGACAACGTAATGTTCACCCGATATTATCAAATTATCACACTTAATACTCTTTAGAACAATTAGAGGCCCTTGAAACCTCTAAATCTTCCATAAACACGTTGATTGAAAATATCAAAGGAAAAATGCTTTTAAGCAAATGAGATCTCAAAACCTTTCAAAAATCATGAGAAAGCTTCCGAAAGTAATTATTGTTGCCTAATAGAAGCCTACGAGCTACAAACATACCATACAGTGTGAAAACTAAGGTCAAATAACTATTTAAACAAAATGGCCATATGCCACATCATGTGCCACATGCATCGCGACATGTGGTACAGAGCAAGAAATGCTCATTCTGTGATATGCAATGTGACATATACACCATACGTCGTGGCGCACGTATCAATTTATGTTGTTAGCAATAGCTTTGTGATACAAACTTTCAATGTGCACCATTTCTTCATATGGAGTTTGATTGAAATTATTCAAGCACCCACACAAAGCTCTTTTTACAAGCTAACTAATGACATGAGTTTCATATCAATCTGATTTTTGTTTGAAAATTAGACACTTGGATGCAAAATGATCATTTTTCATCATTTTCATTCCTACTGAGTGTCCCAAATATAAACCACGTGTTACTAGACTCTTATAAGGGATGGACGACGTCCAATGAAATATTTTACACTTGATCAAGTAATAATATTATCATAATCACATATATTCACAAACTTGGCCACCAAGTTGCCTTTTTTTTTCTCACAACAGGCTATTTTTCACAATTTACATAATTGCACATATATAGCCTTTCACACACATTTCTCCATTTTCAAATTTACATACATATACTTGCAATAGTATCTTAGCCCCTTATATCACTGTTAATCATATTTATACCTATTATCACACACTAGGGCTTAGATACACACATAATTCATACACTTGTAATAATCGCTATATATGCATTTTTATGGAAACTTAATTTATTAGTATTTACAACATAGCAAATTCATTACACAAACTCTTGAAGCACGGCAGTAGCAATACTATACCTGGCCTAAGTCTTTCCCTTTGTCTCTCTCACTACCGAAACCTATAAAAAATGTAGCCATGAGATGAGATAAAAATCTCAAAAACAGAATAACTCACATATATTAATTAATAGGAATAACTATAAATAAGTTTTTGTGTGTGTGTGTGTGTGTAAAACATATCCATTTCCACCAAATTGTTTTGACATACTAGTATGATCATTTTACCATCCAAACCTACACATCAACCCAACTGAATCTATAGGCTTCACTGGACCAATAACACATGCATTGATCTGAGCACATCTTTAGTGGTAGAATCACTTGACTAAAAATGTTTTATCCCACTTTCAGACTATAGTTTTTTTTTATCACACAAGATTAAGGTGTCACTCTAAAACCACATCACACATATACTCAGGAGCATAAATCTTTGACACTGTTCCTATATAAGCACTTAAGAGACGAATTCTCCAACACTGTACCCCATCGGACACTTAGGAAAATATATACTATATGATCTTTCACTACTCTTCCCTATGGATGAAATCTCACTCCTAACATGATCATGCTTGCTTTCTCATATAAAACTCTCCCCCCCCACACATGCATAAGTTATATAAATACCTATTCAACTTTCACTTTCAAACCCATCTTTCATAAATATTTAGATTTATAAATCTAATAATTTTCAATGCAAATCATGCAAATTTCCCAATTTATATCAATGATTGAAAACAAATGTATTACATTATACAATTACTCATAAACAGTTAAACTAATTAATCAAATATAGTAAATTATTAGGATACCTTAACCCTTCTATCATTAGAAAGGTTACCCATGGTTCTTCTCTTGTCAACTTGCTCTCACTACCTTGAATTGCACACGTAATATGTCAACCTATACACATTAGCACCATTAGTCAATTACCAAATTGACCACAAGTACTAATTATCACTATTATTCACAATTATCTATTCATTTCCTTTCACATAACCCTTTTAGGCCCTAATTACTCTTTTCAACCTTTCTATCACTTCTATTCAACCAAAACATAGCTTATACTAGAATTATCACCCCTTTCAATTTACCCATTTAGGTCAAATTAAGCTTGTTACTTAAAAGCTTAACCATTAGCTCCTAAACTAGTTATAAAATTTAATTTAATTCTTGAGAATCTTTTTATTCATAAATAGTAAGAAATCAACTCCTTAAAACTCTGTGATTCAATTTCTCTATACTAAAACTAAGAGAAATTAGGATAGAATAGGAGTTTAAGGTGGTATGAAACTTACTTGGAAAGCAACAAGTCAGAAATATCTCTTAGCACTACAGAAATCAATGCGCTAGCAGAGATTTCCCTTCTCCTCCTCTCTTTTGAATGTTTCATTCCTTTTCCTTTTGAAATTCACAAGTTGTCCATGTCTTCAAAGTCAAATGTCGCATATGCTGCAATGTATGACATAGTGAGGAAAATATCACTGTTGCTCACACACTTTCCTCCGAATGCCATTCTTCCACTCAATACTATCCATTCAAAAGCACAACAAGTCAAAACACTAACTAGCCATCCAAAAATTCCATTTATCCAATTAATCAACTAATTCACTAATTTACTTAATTAGTAATTAGTATTTTAGATTAGGAGATTTAGGATGTTACATACCGTGTCCTTGGCATGACTCAAATTGATGTTAACAAAACTTGAATAGCTTTGATTAAAAATAAAAGGTAAAGAGGGAAAACATTATTTTATATTTGATTTAATTATGTGAGAGATAGATATGAGATTTTTTTTGACATCAAATGAAATTATATTAAGAAGGTAAAAAGAAATATATAAAAAGTCATAAAAAAATT